TCTTCCTCGTTTCCCTCTCTTCTCTCTCACATTCCTATCTCACCTAACATCCCGATGTACCAGATCTTCTGCTTGAGCAGAAACCTCGACTATACAGACTGTTTGAGCAATGCTTTATCTCAGTAAGAATCCCTGAACTCTGCAACTGTCTCAAGACTAAGTAAACCAAATAACAAGGAAATTTTGCCTTCAGTTCTAACAGTGTGCATTATTCACAAGTGCTGAGAATTTAAAATTGCCCCCTTTTAAGTTAAATAAACTGTCCAGTTTATTTAACGTGAGTTTACAAAACACTTTGTCTTGCTTTCCACTGAGTTACTTAATACTCCCTCCCATAATCCATTGGCATCGATTCCTTCCTCGTCAACTGTCTACGCATCCAACACAGCTCAGAGCTGCAAAGAATTCGGTTGCTGAATTACCAGGGACACAACTGGACTCAGTTAAGACAAAAAAATACAAGGGAGTATCCACTTAAAACAGTACTTATTTTTTAATGGAGTTTTCCTCTTGATTATAATACAGCATTAGTTTCTTTTTGCATTCTCCTTCTGAACTTTTATGACACTATCAAACAGGAGCAAACATAAATTTGTGTAGCCTGAAATATGCAATTTAATCATAAGCCATAATTTTCATATCACTGAGAAAAAAAACATCAAATGGTTATACTCCAGTGCATGAGGAACAATCTGGAACTAAATTTTACTCTCTGCTAGAGTTAGATTTTTCACAGCAATATCAAGAATGGTTTGAAGGAAATAGTAAAACATTACTATTATATTAAAACTCCAGGCCCCAAAGTGTTTACCGAAGATCAAACTGCTATTCTTTTTTCAAATTAGAAATGTCTTGCAGACATCTTCAAAATCTCACGAAAGAACAGGCAATGATATCACACTAGTCTCACACATATTTTTCTTCTTTATCCATTCCCTTCCACTTGGAGTCAGGAATGATGCTCTTTTTTGCCGAAAAAAAATCCAGAAAATCCTCCCAGATCACTGTCTCAGTGAGAGCTGACCTTGTTTATCCTGCAGCCCAGCCCCCACCCCGGCTGCTGTTCAATGTCAAGTTACAAGATTTCCCAACTTTCTAGTAAATTCCAAGGTGGGAAGAAGAGGCTCAAGGTAACAGGATCCGGCCACTAGAAAGATGCTAATCCTGACAAACTGCTCGAGCAGTAGCTTGAACCACAGCTAGATTGAATTCGGTCTCTCCTGAGAGGGCCAGACAAGGCTGGTAAGTAACAAAACGCCTTTTCATGGTGCCCTCAAAAGCAGATGGGCTCCGTGCAGAAAGCTGGAGAAGGGTGCCATTGCCCTCTAGTGGCCAGAAGTGCAATCTTCCGCGAAGGAGTTCATTTCCAGAGTTGTACAAGGCTCTCAATGTCAGGATAAAATTATAGCAGAAAGATGTCTAATTATGGTCCTCGTGTGTTTTCTTTAGTTCTTCCTGCTCATAGGAGAGGCAGTGGATGGCTATCACAGGAATCCCGATGGAACACCTCATTCTTAACTCCTACTGGTGCATCAGGATGTGTCCAATTTTCTCCAGCTTTCTTTTTCTTAATGGACCTGTTGATGTTTTTCCCCTGATCAATTAAATCACAAATTTATATGGACCAAAGATTTTTGTATATTTCAGAGGTAATAACTTTGAATTGAAAAGGCCGACAACTCATATTCTTGGTAAAAGCAGAATAGGGATTCTTGACAAATAAGGTAACTTTTTATGAAACAGCAGCCAATTCCATAAGGGAGAAAGTTATCCCAAACACATTTCAATCCCTTAAATCATTGGCTAGTCAATTTCTACAGTGCTCAATTTTCTAGGAAGAAAAAAACTTGGAAGTTCATAGTCATTCTTCAAATTTGACAATTCAAGAAAAACGTTTGCTACCTACATTCAAACTCTATGTATTCTACTATTTTATTATTATTGAATAATTAAGTATGCCTGTGATCAAAGTGAAAACATCAATATATTATTGAAAATAAACTCCAAAGAAATTGTTATGTTTCTCGAACATCTACCTCAATACATTTGTATTGAGTATGAAGGGAGACTAAAATCAGATTTGAGATCTTGTTTAGATGGTTCTGAAAAACGGATTTAAATATAACAGATCAAAGTTTACCAACTTTGTAAGTTACCACTGCATAAGTCACAGGCATTCACAGGCAAGATTCCAAGACACACTATGCTCCTGGGAGTGCAGCACTGGCATTGTAAATCAGACCACGAGGTCGATGTCATGGCGTTTCCCATATGAGGGTCCCCAAACCAGAATCTTTACAAAGCAGCCATGTAATTCTATTCAAAGTGGAAGAAAAACCATGAATTATGAAGACAAGTGCATTAAAAGAGCATGAAATTGATCCGTATTCCCCCAAACCATGGCTTGGCTCTCCAAGTCTGTCCCCTGCCCCCTCCTCCCACAAATAAACAATCAAACATGCACATCCACAGCCACCCCTCTACAGCGGGAACGTGAGTTCTGGGACGTAAAAATATTGAGCCGTAACTAATTTTTTTTTTTAATTTTCAAATTAACAAAAGATTTCATCTTAATTGAAAATAGAATTTAGGTTTCTAGTAATTTTACTGTCTGGTGTTCTGATAAGAATGCTGAATGTAATGAAAGTTCTAAAATGCTATCAAGATGGTCCACTGCTTCAGTGAGAACTACTTTAAAGCTTATTTTCCTAGTAAGCAATAAGCATCCATTTGAATAAATCTACATGTCTGGGCCTCGCCAGATTATCCAGTCTCAATCCTTCAAGGCAGGTCTTCATTCCTCCTTTCCCAGGGTTGAGAAGGGTGGTTTTCTTCAAACAATGTCATAAAATGCCCAGTTTATGCAGACTCTGAAGTAACAACTAAAATGATAGCAATAATTGTTATTAATAACAGTGCATGCCTGCAAGACATTTTAATGCCTTAATTTGCAATGTCTCAAAAGGAAGATGTAAAGATAATTCTTACTCCAGCAAAGTTTCTTGGCCTCTCAGATGCCTTTCCCAGGTCTCTATTGAAAAGCACTCACATTTCTTTTGTACTAGGCTGGATTTCAGTTTTGCACAGAGGTTCGAATTCCAGAGCCCACTGGCCAACTCTAAAACTTGGAATCCGAGATTACATTTAAAGAACTTCAGTGGTTGGAGGAGCCTCTAGTACTGTCCACTACTCTGTCCCTTTGTTTTGTAACTTTTATTCCTTTGTCCTATTGGAAGAAGACCAGGCTCCCTGTAGCTAGGGTTGGGCAGTTAATATTTCTGTGTTCTGGTGTCTGCACCTACGTATTTGTAGGAAAAACAATTCCAGGATTAACGAAAAGAAGGTCAGTCCCTTCACTTCTTTCCCAACGTATTAGGCTCTAGCGCTCAGAGCCCAGACTGACAAATGTGCTGATGCGATGCTAAAGGATCCTCGCTCCTGAGAACACATCTGCATCCCCATCCCCAGGAAATCCAGACACCCCGCAAAACCATCGATGTCTGCTGCAAGCCCAAGTGATAAGGAAATTGATCCGTCCTCTCGCCAGATTAATTATGGTAGCTTCCCTGTGATTAAAACGAAAACTTACTGCCTCATATTAAACCGATAGCCGTGATTAGAAGAAGAAAACAAGAAAAGATTTCAGAGCGATCGTAACAAGACTTCTTTAGGGGGAGACGAAGGGGAAGACTTTGTGAAATATAGACCCTAATGCAGCAGGGTTTCAAGAACAATCCCCCACTCCCACCCCTTAGGGATGACCCGTCGTCATCATGCAGGGCTGGTATTAAATAATTAAAAGATGCAATTTCTTAATAGCAGTGTGATGGCCCATGAAATTCCTACTGCATTATCAGCAAAAGCAACAGGGCTTCTTCTAGCACCTAGAAAACCTTTCACCCGGGAGAGGCAGGCGCGTGGAGCCCCAGGCGAAAGCAGGGCCTTGGCAAAAAAGGGACATGGAAGCAGGATCCGCAGGCCTCCCCTGACCCTACTTTCTCTGGGGACTCTGCCTTCACAGCGCGGGGCGGGCCCTTCTACAGTTCCTCCGGGTTGGGGTGTGGGGAAAGGGGAGCTCTCCTCGCTTCCCTCCCCATCCGGCCGGCCCCTCCACGCTTCCCACCTCCCGGCTCGCGTTCCAGGGCAGAGCGCAGGGAGGGAGGCCGTGCGTGCCGGGAGCTGGAGAGGTTTGGCGCGCTCCGAGAGGCGGCGCAGGTTTCTGGAAGGGTTGGTTCGCAAAGTTAACGTTGACCCTGGCAGCTTTCGCCAGTCCCTAGGCAGAGGCGAGCCGGAGTCTGGGCCGCTCGTGGACCTACCCCTGCGCTGGTGGGAGCTCGCAGACTGCCGCCGGAGCTCCCGCGGAAACTCGGACTGCAGGGCTGGAGCGCACCTCAGCCGGCTGCCCCGGAAAAGCAGTCGGCGGCCCCAAACCCACGCTATTAAAGTGCGGGCAATCGCCTACCGGAGCTGGGGTCCTTCCGTTTCCCCAGGCTTTCCCGGCAGTCTCGACTGGAGGGACTGAGCCCCGGGGAGCTTTCGGCGGGGATCAGGGAGGATGGAGTAAGAACCCCGCAGAGCGCGGGCATGTCGCGGCTTTTGGGAAGCGACGCAGGGCGACTTTCCCCAGAGAGACAGGACCGGGGGCAGTCGGCGTGTCCGAGCTCTGCTCTGCAGCCTCCTGCCCCCGCCAGGTGCAAACTCCCTTCAGCCGCGGCTTAGGCGCAGACCCCAGAGGAGGCCGGAGCCGGGGAGAGTCGAGGAGCGCACAGCTGGAGCCTCCGTCCCCTGCGCTGCCCGCGCCCACAGCTGGCCCCCTTCTCCCTTTCTGATTTTTAAACAAATCTCTCCCTCCCTTTTGCTTTGCATTAGTGAAGACTTCTCGACTCAGATACCACCACCACACCACACCCCAGCCAGACATTCTCTTCCAGAGAAAATCCTGCCCCCCACTCCAAGAAGCCCCAGCCAGGCGAGAGGAAGGGACTGGCGGCGCGCCTCACCTGGGGCCCTTGCGGGTGGACGCAACCTCCGGGCCGCCTGTCCCTGGCGCAGGGCGAGCGCTGCGGTGTCAGCCCCGGCCCCAGTCCCGGTCCCATTCACAAGTCAGCGGCGGCTGCTAGCGGCCCCCGCGGCATCTGCTCCTCGGCCCGCGACGTTCCCCTCGGCTGGCGGCGGCCGCGGAATGAGCCGCCGAGCGCGCTAGTGGCAGGAATGAGAAACCGGGGGGAGGTGGCGGGCGGGTGGGGGGGGGCGGGAGGAGGGAGGCCGCCTCTGGGAGGGGAGGAAAGGGCGGGGGCTGAGAGGAGCCGAGGCTGCGAGACGCAGCGAGATGGGCCTCGCAAAGGCTGCGGGGGCAGACCTGGTCCGCGCCCCTCCCCCCGGGGCCCAGCAATTCCAACCCTTGGATTCGTGGCCGCCCCTCCCGCCCCGAGGCGCGACGCTCCGACTCCCTCGGGGCTCAGATGTAGTCTGGAGCGACTGAAGTTGGGCTCCAGGGACGCACAGCCAATCAGGGAGGGCGGCGGAGGGAAGCTGGAGAGGGGTTGGGAGCCCCCATTTTCCTCCTTCCCCCAAATCCGCTCCAGCTGGCCAGGCTGGGCCCTTGCCTGGCGGGCCGGGATGGTGGTTGGGGGAAGGTATCGCCCAAGCGAGGGAAGCAATCGGGAATTCGGTAGTGCGTTCTATTCTTTCTCACTCCACCACCCCACCTTCCAAAAATCCCTCTACGTTGGCGGCTCCTGCCCAGCCCCCACCCCTCTCAATCTCCCATCCCTTGCAAACTCTTCTGGTGTCTCTGGTGGTGAAGTCGGGCGGGGAGGGTGACTCCGACTTGGGAAGAGCCCAGTCTCCGTTCTCTTTCAGCTCTCCTCTCCTCCAGTACCCCCCACGCAACGCCTCGGAGAGTGGTGCGCCGGGAGCGCTTCCCCGGGGTCGTCATCGCACCACCCCTTGGGAGGGTGCCTTGGCCCCTGCCCCAGCCAGGTATCAGTGGCCCCCGCCCGTGGTGTCACTTGTTGCCACCCCCTCGCTGCAGACCTGCCAGGACCGAGTGAAATGTGCGCTTCTGAGGGAGTGAGGGCCTAATGGGGCGCAGCGCCCGGGTCCTCTCTGCTTCCTGCCCTGTTCCCCTCAGCGAGGACTCGCTACCGGGAGGGAGACCCGGGCCTGCTTCCTGCCCTCCTTCCCCGAGTCACAGGGAAAACAGGCTGGCGGGGCCGGGGCTTAGGAATCACGCCAGGGACTGGGCGGGGCGCTCGTGGTACCGGTAACAAACAGCGTGGGGACCCGCATACCCAGCGGGGAACAACCATGCCTGCGTGGGGACCCCTGGCTTGAACAAGTTTCTAGGGTGGGAATTGGAGGCAAAAGAGGAGGCGGAGGAAGGTGGAGATGCCAGTGGGCGAAGGAACCGCCTGTGGGGACGGAGATGAGGCTGGGAAAGGAAAAGAGATGGACCCGCGAAAAAGAGGAAGGAGGCTGCAGAGAGAAAGCTGAGCGCCACAGCCAAGCAGTCAGAAAGGGCCAGAGGGGAGGAGACGGACCCAGCAGTTAACGGAAAAAAGAGGCCGAAAACGGAAGAGAAAGCCTGGGACCGTTAGCGCGTGGGGAAGGAACCCCAGTGCGTGGAGAAAGCAGGGGCGGCCGAACCCCGCTCTCCAGCTCCTGGCCACCAGCCCGCGGGTCCCCGAGCGCCCGCAGCCTCCGGAGTGTCCACGCGGCTCCGGAAGACGCCCGCAGGGGCGGAGGCTGGCGAGGCTGCCCCGGGACCTACACTTCTCAGCCCGCCCGCCAGCCCGCGTTCTTCTCGGCGACACCGGGATCCGGGTGGCGCTGTGTGCCTGCCCCTAGTCCGCGTCCTGCGCGGAGAGGATGCCTCTATCACCCTCTGTGTGGACGTGGCCTTTAAACTGCTCATTCCTCCTCTGGGGTAAAGAGTTGTAAGTTTCGCTGCCCAGTTCTCTCACTCCTCAGCCTTCCCCCTACCATGGGTGTCCAAGGTGATAGCACCCTGGGCCCCCGATAACCCCCCACCCTCGCAACACACACTCTGCCCAAGGGACGCGCGAGGCCATTGACGCCGAGGGCTTTCCTGTAGAGCTTTAGTGAGCAGATCGCAGTGCCTGCCCCTTCTACCTCCTCCTGTGGGTACCTGGCCCTGAACCTTTTCAGAGTTCTACCCTGCTTTCTCTGTGCCTTGTTGGCCTCTGCTCTAATCTCTAAAACTTTGGGTACTTCCCAAGCCACCGCCGAAAGGCCCCACTCTAATAGTAATGGGGTGCTCTGGTGGCGCCATTCCCTCTGATAAATGAAGTTACTTACAGGAGAAGAGGGAAAGGGGATCCGACTTTCCCTCAGGGATATTCAAGTTTTGGTCTTGTTTGGCTACAAACTATTGTCTGGATTTTCTCAACCCTTCCACGTGGTCCTAGAGGGAGTGTGAAGACACGGTCAATCTGATTGTACATATATTACACAAAAATGCCCAGGATCTGTGATTATTAGGACATCTCTTGGTCCAGAAAGCAAGTTTCATAAATTCCTTTTTGGAGGCATGGCGGAAGATGAGCCTGGCCACGTGTCAGCTGACATTAGTTTAACATTTATGAAATCACAGCAGTTGTTTTTATAGACCATCCTTTTAGTGATGGGTGCATCAGCCGATTTTAACAAATAAGTTAAAAAATTGCTTGATAAGTTTCCACTGACACTGCGCACCTGAATCAGATGGAACCTGGTGTATAGCAGCAGTCCAGCTAGTCTATTCCCAGGATTCTACTCAAGAGAACAGTAAACCTATGTCCACACAAAAACACATACCAGAATGTTCATAGCAGTGTCATTCGTAATAGTCAAAATCTGGAAACAATCCAAATACCCATCAACTGGTGAGTGAACAAAACCGGGTGTACCCATACCATGGAATATTGTTTAGCAAGAAAAAGGGAATAAATGCTGATGCTTGTGACATTATGAATGAACTTCAAAAACGTATGCTAAAAGCCAAATGCAAAACAACATATTGTATGATTTTCATTTATACGAAATTTCCAGAAAAGGCAAATTTACAGAAACAGAAAGAGGATCAGTAGTTGTCTGGGGCTGAGGATGTAAACAGGAATTGATTGCAAATAGGGCACCAGGGAATTCTGTTGGACCATCAAAATGCTCTAAAACTACATAGTTGGGATGGTCCACAAATCTACAAATTTACTAAAATCATTGAATTGTAACCATGAAAGGAAAAAAAAAATTCTTTCATACCTTTATTCCCAGAATATCTGTGACCTGCAGCTAATCCACAAGGGGAAATTTGGCAAAGCAGTTTCAGAGAAAAAAATATGTTTAAAAAAATGTTTCTAGTTCTTATGAAAAGATAACCATATTTCTATTCAGCAAGTTCTATTTTGGCTGCTGCTTTGGAGAACCTTATAAGTTTTAAAGAAAGTTAATTCCCCCCTTTCATTCTTCTAAGTGATTAATTCCTGGGAACTAGAGTTAGGCATTCCAGTTCGTGACATTTTAAACACACCTACTCATAGACACAGTACAAAGTGCACATTTTGGAGGGGATTTTTTTTTTTTATGACTATGTTAGGATCTGTCTTAGAAATCCTTATCAAGCACTTGGGTGGAGTATTGTGTGATTACAGTTTAGATTTAAAAAAAGAAAATAAAAAAAGAAGGAGAACCCACTGACAGTTTAAACTGAAAGATTCAGTTCAGCCAGCCAGCCAAAAGTTTGGGTGTTTATCTTAACTTACCTCACCTTTCCTTCACCTTGTTCTTCTTCAGCGGTTGCTCTGGAGCCAGGATTAAACAGCCCCTTCGGCTTCCTGCAGGTTCTCATCCAGACAGATGTGAGGCCCAATTGGGCCTTTTCTTTTCTTTGTCCTTGCTGCATGAGGCTGTTAATTTCCTGTCGGTTCCCTCATCAAAGGTACCAGGTTGTCATTCCTTTGATGCGCCTTTCCTCAGACTCTAAGATAGTCAGACCCTGCTGAGTCAGTTCCTTGTTTGGACTTAGAAGTTCCGGGCTCCCCAGGTCTTCTCAAAGCTTCCTGCTCTAGAGGCATCCTTTGGTAAATGGTGTAAAGAGTGATACAAGATCCAAGTAGGGTGTGAATTTCATCACATTGCAGTGGAGTTTCATGACATTGCAGTGGGCTTCAACCACCCCTTCCTCAGGCAGAGGGAGGAAGCTGAGAAAGATGGAATGGGAATTCCATTTCTGAATCAAACACTTCAGGAGAATACTCACACAGTTGGATCTGTAGAGCAACATGGGAGGACCACAGGCCTTTGATCTGTGTCTGATTCCTGGCTCTGCCACTCATTAACACCATGACTTTGGCTAAAGACTTTATTTCCTTAAGATGTGCTTTCCATGTCTATAAAATGAGTGTTACTATCTGTGCCTAGATTGCTGTGGGGATTCAACATGCCCACATACCTACAGCAAAAAGCACTAAGCTTGGATCATAGGTTTAATAAGAGAAAGTTAACAATTACTATTATTAATTATGAGGTCTGATTATTATCACATTTTAAATGACCTGGGCAAGAAAAGAGTCATGTTACAATTGTGAATTATAATAATTATAGAGATTAATCTTATCTTAAATGGAACTCGTTATAACTGGCCAAGAATATCATGTCAGTTCAAAATTTCTGACACTGTAAATTGTCTAAATAAGGCTTGTTTGGGGTCACGTGGAATGAGATGTGCCACCCTTGGGGGCTGAGGCTCTGAGTACATGTCCTTTATCTGCCACAAATTCATTGACTCACCCTGGGAAAGTCATTTCCTTTCTCTGAGCCTCAGTTTCCCAACTGCAAATGAGAGCTTACCCGAGGTGAGCTAAGAAGTAGGTTGTGCCAGAGCTTAAATCCTGGACATTTTAAATCCTACTCTTCATTACATATACTGAGTACTGACATCACATTGTACCCTATAAATATGTACAATTACTGCGTATTGATTTTAAAAAGTCAGAATATTTCAGAGATGCAATTCCCCTTTCCAACACTAGGAGCAATCCGCCAATCATCTCAGGCTAAGGCCTGACTCCAGGCAGCTCCTGTCTCTCAAACATATCCTTTTCAACTCTATCAAGGACATATGTCTTTCTCCCTCACTTAAAGTTCCCCCAGGGTGGGAGTGATGCTTTTCTGTTATTTATGTATGCATCCCTAACATCTAGCATGGTGCCTAACAGGACATCAGAGACATACAATATGTATTTAATGAATTAATGTATTTGAATGAATGAAAACCAAAATATTGATCAAATATCATCATAATAATACTATGTTGCAAATGATTCTGGTACTCCTGGCTTAGACGAGTACTCATTTACTCTCATAGATCTGTGAATTAGCTGGGGTTGCCTGGTCTAAACCAGGCTGGGCTGGAGTGACTCAGCTTGGTTTTCTGCATTTCTCATCCTCCTCCTGGGACTCTCTTGAACATATCCTCATGGTGATGAAAACTGCACAAGAGTTGAAGAAGAAATATGCATGACCCCTTGAGGCCTAGGCTCAGGACTGGAAGATATCTCTTCTACATTCACCTGTTGGCCAAAGCAGCATGGTCAGATAGAAAGTTAAGGGGTGGAGAAATAAGATCTGCTTTTATAAAGGTGGAGAAACTCTAGTTGCCTGACAAAGAGTGGGGATACAGGAAAGGGTGAAGTATTGAGCCACTAATGCAGTCTCACACAGGCAGGAACAGATTTTTATCATCATTCATTCTAGGTCATCTTGGATCTTCAGGTCTCCTAGGTTATATCCCATAGTCCCTGTGACTACACACATACACACATACACACGCACTTCTATATATAGGCAGAGACCTATATAACATATAAATATATTCATATGATTCAAGACCTTTGTACTTGCTGTTCTTATTGTCTGGAACCCCCTTCCCCTGTTCATTCCTACGGCTTGCTTCTTCCCTTTCTTTACTTAATAAGGCTATCCCTGGGTGTCTCATGAACACGCCAGTCCCCTTCAGATCGTCACTGTCTATCCATGTAAACTGTGTTATTCTTGTTAATAACACATATACTTGAAATTGTATTGTATATTTTTTTTTCCTTTTTTATAGTTGCCTCACCACAGTAGGATACAAGTCTCAGGAGAGCAAAGTACATGATGTCTGTCATTCCCTCCTGGATCTCAGGCATATGGTGGGCACTCAGTAAATATTTACAGATTGAGTGCATGAAGAATAAATGCATTAATAATGCTAAATGAATACAGGACTCCAGAAACCAAAAGCAGATGGATCATCTGCTTGAATCTAAACATGATGCAAGTGTCCCTGTTTACAAAGTGAACTTAGTGATGCCAGTTATTCGCATTACAAAAATAATTCTTTGGTTTACCAAAGATTTCACTAGGAAGCTAGTTAAAATAACTGGTTCCTTTAATGCTCTAAAAAATACAATTCAGTTTACAAGATGATGGCATATGGACAACTTTTCTAGAATATATGAATTTCCTAAAATGAAGTATTCAGGTATGCTTAATGACAATTCTGCTTCTGACTTCTGATTCCAGTTTGTTTGCTGTATCAACTAAGAGACTTGTTTATTAAAACCCCTCACAGAAGGCTATTTCAATGTTCTTATGTGTGGACATTTACATTCTTTTACAAACTTGTGGATAGGTGCACTTAAATGTGTTTGCTCTCCAGGAGAACCCCCGGAAATGTATTCAAGACTCATGCTGGCTCACTTTGCAAACAGTCTATAATTCGGACAACAGGATTTAAGAAAGCGCCAGCTCTGTGTTCCAGTTTTCGTGTCCATTAACTGTCAGTACTGGGAAGGGGAAGGCAGAAATCATTTCTACTCAATGCAGAAGCCATTTAAAAAAAATTTTCCTTCTTCAATGTCCCCAGCTTACGATAGTCATTTTGCCCAGCATAAGCTGTTGCTATTTCAGTGCTGTACCTAGTTGTTGTATATGTTTCCCTCTCCTTGTTCACTCACCTCTTTCATAGCTAAGAACTGTGGCAGATTCTCTACAACACAAGGTAAGTCAAACCCAATGTATTCTACACACAGGAGGCTAAAGAGCTTTCTTCTTGGAAACGGAACTCCAGAAAAGCCATTGTGTTCTGGTCAACAGTCATTTTAGTTCTGGGTCTTAATCCATGATTGCTTCCCCATTGTACAGAATATTATTCTGGGTTGTGGATAGAATTAAAGAATAATACATTTTTAATAGTTATTCATTGAATGTCTACTAACGGCTTTCACTGAAATTCTTACAACTATTCTACTGAGCACTATTATGCCCATTTTATAGGTGAGGATGAAGAGCTCAGAGAATTGAGCATCATATTTAAATTCAAACAGTTTGCCAATAAATACATGTCATTTTATTGCCCAGAGTTTATAAGGAAATATAACTGGGATGCTAATATACATAGAGAAGATGGTTAAGAGAAGTATGCAGAGGTGTTAGGATAAGTTAAGTGACAGAGCATTTCACATACAAGGAATAGGGCTGTGTAAGGGCTTTGAGGCAACATTGGCTCTGGAGAGCTTGAGGACCTGAAACAGAAACTGTAGAGCTAGTGTTTATTATTCTTTTTTTTTGAGACAGAGCCTCACTCTGTCACCAGGTGCCAGGCTGGAGTGCAGTGGCACAGTCTCGGCTCACTGCAACCTCTGTCTGCCAGGTTCAAGCAATTCTCCTGCCACAGCCTCCCGGGTAGCTGGGACTACAGGTGTGGGCCACCATGCCCAGCTAATTTTTGTATTTTTTTTAATAGACATGAGGTTTCACCATGTTGGCCAGGATGGTCTGGATCTCTTGACCTTGTGAACCACCCACCTTGGCCTCTCAAAGTGCTGGGATTACAGGCGTGAGCCACCGCGCTCGGCAAGAGCTAGTGTTTAATCAGTTTTGGGAAAGGATGCAGAGACAGACAATCCAGACCTTTGTAGAACATACACATCAGAAAAACGCAAATTGTATCCCAAATGCAATGGGCAGTTACTGAGTGAGATTTTGTTGTCGTTGTTGTTGTTGTTATTGCTATTGTCTTGTTGTTGTTGTTGTTGTTTTAAGCAGGAATCATCAGATCGCATTGGTGGACCAAAAGCAGTATGGTCAAAGTTGATTGGCAGCTGGACTGGATTCCTGGAAACGGTTGCACTTTACCAGGAGAGAGGGTCCACAGATGTGCAGAAGCAGTGACAATGAAGAAGGGACAAGTCCTACGTGCGGTTTGAAATAAAATCAGGACTTTATGTTGTGGCGGTTAAGAGAGAGAAGGATGTCAAGGATAATCCTCATGTGACTTGCTCAAGCAATTTGGCAGATAGAGGTGCTTGTTATTGACTCGGAGAAATCTGGAGGTTGACCAGATGTATGAGTATGGGAGGGTAAGGGGCGGAAGCTTCCCAAACCTGAAGCTTTTTCAAACCATTTGGGACACTTGTGTGCTCTGCTTCCCTACACTCATAGATATGTCCCAGGGTCAGGGAGGCAGTGTCGCCTGATATTTAGTTAGTTAGAAAGAGAAAGCACTCATGTTTTAGTCTGGAAGCTTGGGATCTAGACTCAGACTTTGGGCTTTTCTTTATTTTTCTCTGAGCCATTTCTTCTTGTCCAAAGTGAGGAGTTTGTCCAAAACACTTTCATGTGCCAATTTGCCTCTAAAAGCCCGTGGTTACTGATTATGACCACAGCAGGGACAGTCTTTCAAAACTATGTCCAAAGGTTACATTTATATTGATTCTGTGTCCGTTGGAGTCTCGTCCTGAGACACAGGTGAAGCAGGATGTGGGGCAATGATAATGACCAGTAGACAAACAGGGTCACTCAGGTTACCCAGAGCTCTGGTCAGAGGTCAGCTCCGTCCCCTAATGTTGCCACTCAGGGCCATGTACCAGTGATTGATTGCTGTTCATGCATCCCAGGATTATCACCCGCTCTCCTTTCCATCTAAAATGTCTACCATCACTCTTCTCCAGCTTCTCCTTTTCTGGTCCTATCAGAAAAGGGAGCAGAATTTAATGGCAGAGACCATGGGCTTAGAAATTTAGCTTTGTAAGGTTGAGTCCTGCTTATATCCCTTACTTGCTGTGAGCAACTCATTTTCCTCTGTGAGCTTCCAGTTTCCACATGTGCAGAATTGCCACTGTATAGGTACCTGCCAAAAATAATTGTGGGTCAGGAACATGATAATTCACAGTGCCCAGAAGATAGTAAATACTCAAAAAATTCTTTTCTCCTCCTCCCCATGTTTTCCCTGCTACCCTTATTATCCTTCATCTTTCAAAACTGAGCTAAGGGATCATACATATCAGAAAAATATCTCCTGCCCCTGTCCCTTCTCACAGAAAATCATGTCTGTAATTTTATCTTGCCTCAGAGTATCGTTCCCTATGCTGTCAGCCTCACCCTGTCTCTGCAAGAGACCTTTAGAGGCCAATCATTATCAACACTTCATTGATGTATCTTAAGCAAATGGCATACAGTTGGTATTCAATAAATGCCAGAGGGCATGTTGAAAGCAGGAATGCTGGAAGAGGTAAGAAAGACAGACACAACAGAAGAAAAAAAAAATCACATATGTCACAACAGCTCCTCAAAAGAGATTTTATTTTAGAATGTAAAGGAAAAATAGAGCAAAAGAAAAAACCATTAAGTGGCCCAAATTGCATTACTAGTTCTCTACTCTGGGATACACAGCCATCATTCAGTCTCTAGTAAAAGCAATTCTTGATTGACTAAGAAGTGCTTAGCAAAAAAAGCAAAATTTACCATGTGTATTTACAGTTTGAGTGGCTCGGCTCCTCTAGCTTTGCTTACATCAATGAAAGGGGGAATATGCACCCAGACAGTCTAATTTCTTTAAGTCAGATGAGTCACAGAAGCAAACATTCGAAGATGTGCTACAAAATAATCAATCATCAGATAAAACTGTTTTGGATGTAGCAGATGTATAAAATAAAGTGAGACTATTTTTTTAAGCTAAAAGTTTGCATATTTACAAAAGATTCTGGTAGAATAGAGAAACTTAGCCAAAACATCACTTAAAAGAAGGTATAGTTTCAAAGCAGAAAGGCAGCTGAAAATGGCAGTCAGTTATCTTCATTCCTTAACTCCTAACCTTATTCCTCATCCTCATGCTCAGCACCCAGTAACTGATTTTTCATGATAAACACCTTTAATTTTTATTTTATTAACAATGTGGCTTCTAGAACACTTGAATATTGTATTTGGCCAATGTCTGCTTTAAATATGTCATAAATAGAAAGCATCAGCAGTAGGAGTAGCAGCATGCTGACCATTTACTAGAAGGGAGGTGCCTCCCACATGTGATGGTGAGTATCAGTACACCCATTTTGCAGGTGGAGAAATTCCTATGCTCGCTGAGAAGCTGCATGGCCACATTCACACATGTTAGACATTATGGAGCTCAGATGTCCACATGGAGCTTTCTCATTCCAGTGTGCTCTGGCACTTTCCAGATGTAAACTGACAAGCATCCAGTCCAATGAAATGATGACTTCCTATAAAATAGATGTTTAATGTCTTATAATTTATGTATTTCCTGAAACCAAATGTATGAAAATCTATCAAACCACCTGTGTCCAAATGTCCACATGCTGGAGCATCACCATTTTTGCATATACTCTTCTCCCTCCTTAAAACAAGCTTCCTCCTTCATGTTCTATTTCCAGTTTATTCTTCAAAAACTCCATGCTCATGTGTCCTATCCTACAGGTATATTTTCCTAGCACTCCTTGTTTCACCCTCCCCTCATCACCAATATGGAATTAATATTCTTGGTTTGTGTTCTATGCACTCTGCGCCTAATTCTGATGGCATACTTGACCCATTATTTGCATTTTCTTTTCCTCAAAGAATCCTATTTATTTAAGGGTGGAGGCCATATTTTATGCATCATTAAATCCCCAGAACCTATCTGTGATAGTTAATATTGAGCATCAAATTGACTGAAGAAAAAGATGCAAAATCTTGATCCTGGGTGTGTCTGTGAGGGTGTTGCCAAAGGAGATTCCCATTTGAGTCAATGGACTGGGAAAGGCAGACCCACCCTCAATCTGTGTGGGCACCATCTAATCAGCTGAGAGAGCAGCCAGAATAACAGCAGGGAGAAGAACGAAGAAAGACTAGACTGGCTAAGTCTTCTGGCCTCTGTCTTTCTCCCATGCTGGATGCTTCTTGCCCTTAAACATCAGACTACAAGTTCTTCAGCTTTTAGACTCTTGGACTTAACACCAGTGATTTCCTTTGTCCACAAACTAAAGGATGTACTATCAGCTTCCCTACTTCTGAGGTTTTGGGACTTCCTCACTCTTCAGATGCAGACGGCCTTTCGTAGGACTTCATCTTGTGATCGTGTGAGTAAATACTCCTTAATAAACTCCCTTTCATATATACTTCACCCTATTAGTCCTGTCCTTCTAGAGAACCCTAATACATTATCACATCCCTGGGCAAATAGACTGTCAGTGCATGTGAGAATAAAATAAGAATAATTTCTAACATTTATTTCGTGTCTACATGGTACAGGCATCATTCTAAGCAGTTTACATGTAGATTTATTTAATTCTCACAACATATATGTTGGATAGAACTATTGGCCTGGCACAGGGGCTCATGCCTGTAATTCCAGCACTTTGGGAGGCCAAGGCAGGTGGATCGCCTGAGGTCAGTTCAAGACCAGCCTGGCCAACATGATGAAACCCCTGTCTCCACAAAAATAGAAAAATTAGCTAGGCATGACGTCGGGTGCCTGTAATCTCAGCTACTCAGGTGGCTGAGGCAGAAGAATCACTTGAACCCTGGAGGGGGAGATTGCAGTGATCCGAGATCACACTATTGCTCTCCAGCCTGGATGACAGTGAGAGACTCCTTCTCAAATATATAAAAATTAATAAATGAAACTATTGACAAGGATCATTTCTTACAGAGGAAAGAGGGATAGAGAAATATATACAAAAACACATGTACAACTTGTGTGTACAAACACAAATATATATCACAGATCTAGATACTTTGTTGATTCTTGATACTTGATAACTTTCAACACAAATTGGAAACTTGGAACAAACAATGCAGATCATAGGTGGCTTTACGCTCTCTGTGCCCTGTCATGGTCTGTGTGAGAGTTTTTAGTCCTGGTGTCACATTGACATTCAAGACATTGAAGGTCCTGGAATGTGAGCCACATGATGAAATAATTTGAGGATGGACAGTTTGCAGAAGAGAATAACCTTTGTTCAAATATCTAAACAGCTGTCATGAAGAAGAGCGATTAGATTGATTTTGCTTGGCCCAGGAGGTGCAAAACAGACTCATAGATGGGAGTTTCAGGGAGTGAGGATGTGGCTCGCTCCAAGGAAGGATTTCTGCAAGAAAAGTAGATCCTGCTAGATCCTGTGCTCCTGGGAATAGGGAGGTTTGGTTCCCTTCCAGAATGGAAACTCAGGCTATATGTCCATTTAACAGGTAGTGTCATATTTCACAAGATAATTCTGCTTTGGGGAGGGGTGGGGAGGGGAGGAGACCACAACATATAATAGATAATCTTAGGCTTAAGCCAGATATGTTTTGGGAAAATATGAGGCTAGATTACTGAAATATTCTAACTTTCTATATAACAAGCTATAGATTACTGATTATATAGGTTGCAATTATTGATGATAGATTTATTAGTTTGATTCTTTCTCTGATGAACCCATTCATCCTGAGGTCATTTCATCCTTCATAGGAAGAGCTACTACTTTACAATTGCATGAAAACAGATCAATTTATATATATGGCTCATACACATCTCAAAAGGAGAAATCAAGAGGGACTTAGGTATGGTAATTTGAAGAACAGAGAAAGGAATTGGAAAATCAAAAAATCGAAAATGGTGAGATGATTTTGGTATATCATCAGGACATCAAGAATAATGAAATTAAACACGTATCTTAAAGCAAATGATTCCAAGCAATCTTGATAGCAATAGTCTCTTTTCCCCCAAGGGATTTCAAAATCCAAGTTGGATGAGATGATTTAGATAATCATGCCAGCCTCAGTAGAAAATAAAAATGTATAGGAAGCATAGTTTTTTTTATATAAGATGCACCTAGTTTTTCTTTTTTATATAAGGTGCTTTTTTACACAATATACATTCTCCATCTTTCTTTCTTCCAGACCTCTGCTATGAAGTCTTTACTCAAATCTCTGTTTCCTGAGGTTTCCTCTCAACCTTCTATAGAAGCTATCCTCTGCACCACAAAGTTAGATCGTGAATCATGTGCTATTTTGAACTATTGAATTCTTCGTTTTCCTGTGCCTGCTTTTCTCCCCTGTGCAGGTGGACAGAAATGCACATGGGTTGCAGTATCTAGGGAAATGCCAACTGATAATTCCCCAAGGCTATTACAGACTAACGTAACTTTTACGAGCACAGTGAATTCCAATATCTAATCTTCATCTTTGCAAGACCAATAATTCTCTGTCTGAGCCCTAGAAATAATGATTGATTCGAGCATTGATTATATTTTCCTAACATTTGAGTTGTCTCACTGTTAAGTGGAGACAGTCTGGACATAACAGAAGCTTTCTGCTCCACCTACTTATCAGGCAATGAGGGCAATCACTCGACAGAATTCCTCCAAAGAGGAAGCCTGAGAGTGTTTTGAAGAAATAAATACTATGCAGAATCGACCGTGACCATCAAGAAAAAACTTCAGTGGACAAAGATGGCTGCCAGATTTCCTTCTCAAGGAAAGCATAGCTCCAGGAGAACGTTTTGCTTTGACCAAGTACTTTGCTGAGCCAGAAGATGGAAAACTGGAAGTCAGAGTCAAGGTAGAGCTAAATTGTATTAGGCGGTTACAGTGCGCAACTCCAGGTGGCATCACTGGCCTTAAAGCCAGGAAACAATCATGGAAAAGGAGAATGTCTAATTATATCTATACATATGATGCAGTATAAGATCTCTATTTTTCTGGCATGCACTTTCAGTAATTTCATCATGTTTGATAAACCTTTTGTGACACTGGATTGATTTTGGTGGGTAGACTCTTTAAAAAAAATAGGGTTGAGTTATGAATCTGAGTTACCATAGGAGAAACCAAGTACTTTTCCTGAAGCTTACCAATTGAAAGAAAAGAGAACATTTGGGTTGCATATGATTATGAGGTGCTGATGACTAATTTGGGGAGTTGTTAAGATAATTAAACAAAAGAAAATTATAAACTATATGGAAATTGTAGAAGCTCCACATGTGTGTACTATCTTCCTCCAGGAAGCAAGCGATATGGACTACTTGTAAGAAACTAAACAAGTTCATGAGGTTGGTAATGAGGAGTGTTTGTGCGTGCGTGTGTGTGTGTGTGTGTGTAGGGAATTGCATGAAAAGAGCAGTTATAATGGCAGATTTGGGGAAATCTCACAAAGAAGGAGAGTGCAGCAGTAATTCAGGTGGTCAAGGCTCTAAGCCTGCTGGCCGCTGTGTTATTCCTGCAATATGTCAAGGCCTGTCACAGGATAGAGGATCATATGCGCACATCTCACCTCTCTTCCCCCCATACCTTGCTAGGACACTTGTAAATCTGTTTCTCTCATCACCTGCCTCTCTCTTTTGATAGTCACACTTATCCTCAAATATATTAATGCAGGCAACATTGCTCTAGCTAAATCTTGCTGTTGCCAAGAAGTCATTTATCTCTTTTAGATGATTTTATGTATTTATCACACTTTATTTTGTGGTTCTTAATCTCAGAGCTGCTTCTTGTTATTGTTGTTGCCCTGAGTTCTGGAGTCAGGAGAACAGCAACTTATTAAAACCCCAGTTATAGACAACATAGCCAACAAGAAGTAAAAATTTACTCGAAAAAAATATCTTGCTTTTCTCATTGTTTGCATTTCCAGAATTTCAGTCACAAAACAAGGCACAAAATAGAAGCTCAATAAACACTTGACTATTTCCTGGGGCCCTTTTGATGAAAGAATCTATGTGAACACTTCACACATTTTTTTTAATGAGAAAAGCTTTTGCCCTATTCTTAAAGTCTATTATTGTTACATGCCTCTTCTTGGGTGCCAGTGAATTAAAATTTGTAGCAACCTAATCTGTCTCCCTCTAAACACATTTGTAATGCTTGGTATTCTTGATTCGGTTGTGCTTTGTGTGTCATATATCATTACACTGTGTTGCATATCTTATAGAGAAAAATTACTGAAAGTGTCTTTTTTAGAAAACCAAAATTCTTTATTACTATGGCCTATAGCAATTAAAGCTTGAAATTAGAATTAAGTATTGTGCATTGTGATGCAGGCGACCATATAGATATATTAACATTTTGGCAAGGTTTTCTTTGCAGGCACAAAGTTGTCATTAGAAAATATAATATTCATTTTTTGCTTGATTAATTATAGCAAAAGCATAAAAAAATATATATACTGTGTGTTAGAGTATGCAACATTTTGTAAAATTATGAATCATGGACAAGCTGAGGTATGAATCCACAATATTCTGTAAGAAACTCAGATTATGAAATTTGTTCTTTGAAGTACTTTCAGTAAAGACAATTTATGCTCTCCAAACATAAAGAAACACATCTTGAAGACACAACACACAATCTAAAACAATCTGAGTTTTCTTCCTACTTTCCCAAATCTGCTATGGATTTACTTATGTGTAGCCCTGGAAGATATTCTGATAATTCCATGTAATAAAAAATTAGTTAGCACATAATATAAATATAATCATAGCTACTATTTTCTAAAGATTGTCTTTGTGTCAGACAACATTATAATTGTTCTCCATTACTAATTCAAACCTTACAAGACCTCTGCAAAGTAGGTACTGTTTTGTTATTAGTTATTATAATCATTATTGAGTTAAACTTATATTCAATGAGATATACATATTCTATCTATATAATTTCATAAATCTCTGCAAATGAATACATTTGTGTATCTGATACCTAATCAAGATAGAGAACAGTCCCATCACCTAGAAATAAACACTATTTATAGCTCTAATTTTCTAATAAATAACAATGGACTCAGAAGGGTTAAATAATTTGCCCAAATGTAATAATTTATTACAGTGGTAATAAATAGCATAGCTGATCATCAAACTCACAATCCTCATCATACTATATTAGGATTCCCAAGGCTTAACTTCCACATCTATTGACTTTCTTTTGATTTTTGTATGTATAAAAGTAGAGTTTGGAAAGAAAACGGATTGAAAGGCTAAGTGAAACTAGCTGATATCTAACAGTGTTTTTCATAATTGCTAATTACTAAACTATCCTAGCTTTTTAAGAATAGAGATTTCCTCTCCATGCTTAAAATATTAATCCAGTAGACTGAAGTTTTGACTTAATGATCTGAATTATATTTATATGCTCCTCCCTAGTGATTCTGAGAGTCACCACGTATTTACAGAATAGGCTATATAGTGCTATGGTCACAAATTAACCACAAAATATCAGAAACTAACACAAAATGTGTTTGTTCACAAATCCACTGCTTGGGTGACTCTCCAGTAAAAAATGTCTTCTTTGCAGTAACAATGCAAGATACTCTATCTTTGTGCCACTGAAATGTTTATGTCCTTGCAACAGGCAGAGAGAAGAGTTAGCTGAAGGACTGTGCACTGGCTCTTAAATCTCAGCCAAATCCATTGGCCAGAATTCATCTGTGGCCCTGCCTCTTCAAAGGGGCTGAGAAATACGGAGGAGAACACAGGCATTTGGGGAAGAGTGCCACAGTCAGGTTTTGAGAATCCTTGAATCGTTTACCTCTAAGTTTCTTTCTTTCTCTGGATGTTTGCGGATCACAGGTGGTACAGATAGATTCACACTTTCTGGTTTTGTAGGAAGTAATACCACAGTGACAACTCCAACTCGCCATGAAATGCTTTCCTTTGTATTCTCTTTTACTACATGATGCAATATTTTGCATGAAAACTGGGAAGCTACTTTATTGATGTGGATCTGATGGTCCTGCCACCCCTTCTCTTGGTTGTTCCTTAATTCCCTTGAGTCAGCATACTGTAAATCAGTCCTAGCCAGAATGCTTTGCATTTCCATCCCAATTTGCTGTCAGTTGGGTGCCAACGTAATGTCTGCTGTTACATTAGAAGGCAAATGTTTTAAGCTTCTAGCCTCTAGTGGTTATGAATGAACTATGGAGTCAGATTGCTTGGCTTTAGATCCAAGCTTCATCATTTACTGGTTACGTGAGTTTGGTAAGTGACTTGACGTCTCTGAACTAATCTCCTTTTGAGCAAAATGGGAGTAATTATATCTTCTTCCTCATGGGACTGTCATAAGTATTAAAAATGATAACCTACATTAAGTGCTTACCACAGGGTCTTACATACGGAGAGCAACCAATAAACTTTGTCTACTTTTTACAAAGGAATGTCTTTAAGACTGCTGATCTGCCAATAACTAATAAAAAGAAGCTCCTCTGCCTCATCTCACCCAGATTAATGAATTTCACCATTATATGCTGATAGAGAAGAGTTTTTCTACACCTTCAAATCAATCAATTTCAATTCATTTCCCCACCTCTTTGTAAAGCCAGATTAGACCATATCTTTCAACTCTAAATGATGATTTTATGGAAGTCAAAGTGAAATTAGCAAAATGCATCTTTCTGTCAATGTAAGTATAGAAGCTTAAAAAAACTGGTGAACAGTAACTCGCATCTCTCCTACTCTGTGCTACATGAAGCTGTGTGTTATTTAACAACAGGAGGATGTTAAATCATGAAACGTAAACTTTCTTCCCCTAGAGTGGCAAGTGAGCTATTTTCAACTTTCTGTTGTGACACCATTTTTTAAGGTTGTGTCAGCATGCCTATTATTAATTTATCTCTTCACAAGCTGTGTGCATCTTCTCCAAGAACATTCTTTTCCAACACTGTCTAGGAGTTTCTCTGGATGTCTCGCATGGAATGCTAGTCTGGCATAATCATTTAAGGTATATTGCCCTTGAAAAGATACTTTCTTGCTCAAATATGAAAATACTTCAGATTCTACCTATCTTAGACACTGACAATATACATTGGCACATAAGTATACATTAGCACATCCAGCATATGTTTCTAGACATGCTAAAGTAATGTCTGTTTAACTCCATTCTACTGATTACCTACAAAACTAATTTGGCCATGAAAAACTTATTTTTACAAAAAAAGATGTTCCGAAGAATTATATATTTGGCAGAATCGTATGCAGAATTGATGAGACAGCTTAAGCTATGGAAGTCTCTCTGCATCTTAGGTTTAGAAGGATAATAATAAAGGAGCCATATCTTGGTCTGGTCTGATTTTATAAACCAATGGCCACCATAAAAGCACAAAACTCTAATTTGGCAGGACTGGGACTGAGGAGAGCAGCGTGAAGCACGTATAGGCTTCGCACTATCTAAGGAGGCACCAAAAAGCTCAGTAAACAAGATAAATAATATTTATACAATATTTAAAAAATAAGTAAAATAAAGCTATTTTAAAAATAAAAACGCCAATATGACTATTGCTGATTCTTTTTATGGTTCTGTACAATCCCGTCACTGTTCCATTATTTTCATAACTTGATATTTTGCTCATCATGAATTTTTGCATTCAGTTTTGATATTTAAAATGGTGCATTGAAATATTACTTGCTTTGATTTCTGAGTGTTTTGGGGCCCCTTCAATTTTACGGCTGAGTGAGCACCTAATCACCTCCCTCCAGTTCCAGATTTTCTACTTGATTCCTGCCCAAATGTAATAAGATGGAAGAGCAAACTCTTTTTATCTAGGGCTGAGTTCTGCACAAAGCCAGCATAATATTGGGAGGAAATGGTACAACCATGATCATAGCAGCACTAGTCACAATGGTTAAAAGGTGGGAGTAACCCAAATGTCTATCCACAGATGAATGGATATACACAACGTGGTGTATACACACAACGACATGTTATTCAGACTTAAAAAGAAAGGAAATTGTGACACGTGCTACAACATGGATGAACCTTGAGAACGCTGTGCAAAATGAATTAAGCCAGTCACTAAAAAGATAAATACTGTATGATTTCACTTATATGAAGTTTCAAGCATAATGAAACTCATAGAAATGACAAATAAGAATGGTAGTTGCCAGGGACTGGAGGAAGGGGGAAAGGGGGAACTTATTGTTTAAAGGGTATAGAGTTTCAGTTTTGCCAGGTAAAAATTTCCTGGAGATATTTCACAACAATATAAATATACTAAATACTACTGATATATACACTTAAAAGTGGTTAAGGTTGTGAATGTTCTGTTATGTGTATTTTGTTACGATTATTTTTTAATTAAAATTTTGAGAAAAAGGAGAAATGGCAAAGGTCAGGGACAGAGATGCACATCATCAAAAGCGGAATTGGAGAGAGGTACCAAGGAAGCAGAAGGCCAGGAAAGGGAGGAGAGAAAACACAGGTTGGGGGAGTAACCTGGGAGGACTCTGGTGTCTGGTCTCAGGGCTTCTACCTGTCCTTGGAACAGGCTGCATTGAAAAGGAGGCTGAAACACGTTCACTCAACTACAGGTATCTTTTTCTGGCTCTTCTGCTTCTCCTTTGGAGATTTTCTAGGGGGAAAGATCTTTAAATATAAGATGTATTTTGATTAGAAATCCTGTCTGTTAATGTACAGCTTCGAAATCCTGACGGACCGGCCAAGACGTGCAGCACATTTTGGATGCTTTTATAGAAAAGCTAAGATTATTTTTCTAATAACTCTTTCATCTGCAGCATCTAGTTTTTCCATTAGGAAAACTAAAATAGCTTGTGGAACTGCTTTTTGTCCTTCTGCAATAACAGATGCTGCAGCAAGCCCATCACTTTGGGACATATGTAGAATATGATGTGGTTACAATGAGAAAATGTTCTCTTCTCTCCACACACGTTTCGCGGAAGGACATTTTGTGACATCTCCTTCACGTCTCTGGGTCAGAGAATCTCTTGTATGAGTGGAACAGAGATAATATATTTCAACATATGCTGAAATAATAAGTAGGATCTCTCTAAGGGTAGATAGCATCCATAAATAATTTTAACAACCCACGAAGATACTTGGCCATAATTAGTTCTGAGGAAGAATTTTTTTTTAATGTTTTCTTTTTCTGGGAGACACTGGAAACTGTTTTGTTGGTGGTGGGAGAGGAGCGGATGGTGAGTATCAGTCAGGCTGGGCTGATATTAAGCAGTGATAATAAACATCCTGCAGATCCCAGTGACTGAAAACTGTCACTACACGAGTGTGATTGCTCTCTCACGTTGCATGCCTGCTGCACAG